GGGGCTGAGGTGGGGAGGGTGGGGGTGGTACAAACAAAGATGAAGATTCCAATATTTTTGAGAGATTCCATTCCAATTCCTACCAACCACATGCATGGTCAATTTCCATTCCAATTCCTTAAAAGTCAAATTCCTTTGATGGATTCCAATTCCACCAAATTCCATTATGCGAACCAAACCCCTCCTACCTCTATGTACAATAATAGAAGATTCTACCTAGATAATCACATGCAATGGTCTAGATACTGGTGAGGAGTCTTCTAGAATATGTTTTGCTCTTCTTGATTTCTCTTTCAAGGTTTCCAAATGATCTTGACGTGTCTAGATTTATCCGGCCTATTCGGAAATCTTCTCATGGGACATGACACTATGCTCTTCAAAAACATAAAGGAAAGAATTTCATACCTCAATGAGCTTGACATCAACTTGGTCTCCGACCTTGAAAGCCTGGAACAAGTTACAGTTACGTATAGCACCAACACATCATGAACGGATTGGAAGAATACAAGCCATTAAAGAGGTGATAATACTTACATCTTCTGGTTTCGACAGCCAATCTGGACTCAACTCGCTAATATGGCAAAGTCCCTGACATGAAGTTAAAATTGGTTCAATTTTCAGATATTGCGAAGCTTCCACTTCAGAACCAACCATGTAAACTTGAGAAATTTTCATGGGATATGATGAATAAAACCAGGGAACTTAGTTATAATGGTGCAGCTTGGAAGAATTTGAAAATTCCCCAAGGATCAAGTGAAGGAAATTTGAAACAAAATATATGTTTAAAGCATGACATGCAAAAATGCAGATGACAACATAAGGTCATGATTGATACTTGGAATAAAAGTTATACCTCTCGGCCTGGTACTATCTCAACAAAAACTCCATAGGGAACAATAGACATGATTCTACAATTCCTGAGAACAGACCAGCACAGAATCAAAACAAATTAAAGTTCGTTATCTGATGCAGGACGAAAAATGAAAAGGAACTTCTAAAGCTTATAAGCTTCACACACAATTAAATATTATAAGCTTCACACACAAGATATCTAAGGTCTCTAGAGCTTCACACACAAATGTTGATTCACTCAACAAAGAGAACAAATCAAAATAGAACTCAATATAATTCAATCAGCTAAACATAATAAATCATGGGGATTACATCTCTCCATATAGCTAAAAGAAACCGGACAAGAACTAATGTACCATTCATAACTAATAAAAATTGCAAGATTGATTAATCTGCACCAATTTCCCAAAATATCAAATATCCCATCACAAGAATTGCTACTCAATTGAACATATAAGCCCAGATAAGACTAATCAACATCGTAAATGTTTAAAATTATATGTTGATAACAAAAGCATTAGTTTTGTATAGAGAGAAAAATACCTATATACATCACCAACAACTGGAACCATCGTCAAGTTACTAATAATAGCTCTAGACTTTTCTAAGCTTGCCACATCTCTTGCAGTTATTTTGACCTGTAACAGTCATCGAGGCATGTAAGACTGCAAGCATGCAGCAGCAAAAAGGCCAGGCAGAAGAAATTAGCATGTTTAGCTTACTGTTCCATTATCTTGGGCATCAATACAGTCCACGCCAGTCTCTTCAATAATACTCTTGATCTTCTTACCCCCAGAACCAATAATAAGGTTAACTTTCTCAGGTTTAACCTACAACAGTTGAAAACTGTGAGCAATACGGATACTCCATGTCATGTCAGACAACAAAGAGGCTAAGAGATGACAACTAACCTTCATAACAAGAATAAGTGGAGCATGCTTAGAAAGCTTCTTCGATGGAGGAGGTGAGCATTTCAACATCTCAGCTGGAAACATAAAACTTGTCTCATGTGAACTGACAAGACAAGGTAAAATATGTAGGGAACATGGTCTACTTCATTATTAAAGAAGATATTATCTACATTTAATCTAGTTGTGTGGCTCCATTTAGATCATGGACATTGATACAACTAATACAATATGCATCATGTATCATAAATAGAAGATATTTTCGAGACATGAATTAAAAAGGTAGGAGAAGAACAAGTAGTTCGAATTTTAGAAAACAAGGCAACAACAAAGCAGGTGTTCATATGAAAAATAAACTAATTGAAGTTATTGTTTTACCAACAAAATCTCATGGTCTAAGAATAGCTATCACTGTCAATCCCTCACACAATTAATAGTTCAAACAAGAACATTGATATTATGTGTATAAAATTTACCAAGAATACGCTTTCGCCCTTCCTTTGCTTGCATTAAAGCCTGCTTCATCGTTGACAAAGTAATTCCTCCTACCTATAATGTAGAAAGACATTGTTCAGATACACAGCAACCAATTTCCCCCAAATTTGTGATAGCAGTCAGAATAAGGGATCTGTAAGGATAACATGACACGGCTTTCTAGAGCAACAAAGAAAATATACTTTCAGGTGCTCATACACATGCCTTCAACTGGTTTGATGTGGACAACCAAGGAACACAGAAAGATAGGAAACATAACCTTGATATCCATTTGGAATGCGGTTACTCCTTCATCACTGCCAGCAACCTGCATCATCAAAGTCGATAATTTTTGTCAACTATATCCTTACCTTTGAGCTCATACACCTGCAGTTTGAACAATGTGTAGCTTCTGAGGTAGGTCAAATGAGTATAAATTACTCCTTCCATCCCATAAAAATTGCAGCGACCACATTTACACACTCAATTTTGGAGCTTCTTCTAATTAATTTTATCTCCATATTTTTTCAATAAAACCATAGTCCCAAACATAGATGATATATTTGCAAAAAAGGAAGAAAAAGAAAGACTCAAAGAACACTATTTAGAAGAACCCAAGTAAAATGCATGGTTGAAATTCTATGGGGCAGAGGAGTATCATATTTATCATATTGGCCTCAAGGCTATAATCCATTAAAGTGAAGACCTTAAAGTCCATATCTCCAGAAGCATCCTCAGAGCCAGTGATGTCAGATAAAATCAGCGGGGTTCCATCTCCCCCAAATTCCTTTGTGTCCAGAACCAATCCCATTGCTATACCCGCAATAGAACACTTTAGTGGTACTCCAGCGTCTTGTAATGCTAGGCATCCCCCGCAAACTGATGCCATACTGTCAAATGATCATACATAACAAGATGGAGAAATAAATGGCAGTATGTTTTGAAAATAATAGTCAGACTGAGAGAATAGTAAATGGAAAAATCCATTAAACACCAAGTTAATTAACAGAAGGTGTTACGTGTGTGCCTCGTGAAAGACCTATGTTTACATATGAGCATATATTTCATATAATACAGCTAAATAGTTTTCGCACCTTGATGATCCATTACTCTCTGTTATGGTACTCTCAACACGTATGGTATATGGAAAATCGTCTTCAGAAGGCAATATAGGTTCAAGGGCTCTTTCCGCAAGCATACCATGACCAATTTCTCTTCTGCTAGGTGCTCCACTTCGCCCGACTTCCCCAACACAAGAGGGTGGGAAGGTATACTGTATAAGGAAGAAAAGATCACCAGATAAAGCTGAGATATCCCAACCAAACAGTGCCCAGATTTCTTATTAGCAAAGTAATTGAAAAAAGAATAAATCTAAAAAATTTCATATATATGCCCTGAACTTGTGCACTACTTCACAGTAGATCCCAGTACTCCCAATGATAATATTTCCTTCTTTCAACTCTCAACATTGTCAAAGTGTGACCATTCTGCCAATGAGGCTTTTTTTTAATAGGAAAATACACACACAAACTCTGATCAAATTGTCTCCATGTCCTGCAAATGCAATCACTTGGATACCCAGAAAGCTAGGGCCCGACGGTTCTCCCATTGAGTTAATCATGTACTTATAAATAGGCTTTACAAAGTACAAGAAAAGCAAAGAGGAAGGAAAAAAAAAAGAAATCATGTAAATCATGTTTTTCCGCAACCACCACCAACCCCATGAGGCTTGCCTTTTTTCCAACAACACCTCTCTTCTCCCCCCATCACCAGATACAAACACCAACCAGATTGATGCATATTGAAACATAAACGGGTGAGATTAGGATCCGGAAATGTGAGATTAGTTTGATAAAATTTTCACCACCAACAATCTGATTGAATTGAGGATAATGTAATTAAAGGCGATCAAGATTAATAAAATAAGCGAAAGTTGAATACTATTAGTGATAAAGCAATAGCACTACACTAACAGTAAACAAGAGCCTGCTCCTTTTGTGTACATAACACTCACATTAGCGGCAGAAGCTGATGCACATTCAAAATCAAAAGATGTCCCTCGTTATACAACTTGGGAGCCATTATATAAGGCTGGACAATTAAAAAAAATACTTGGTTCTTGAAAGATCAAAAGCCTAAAGATAGAACAAAAGTTGGAAGGTAACTAAAGAAAACATTAATGGAACTGATCGGGATAAAGACTCGATTATGAGCCAAGCCATAAGGTTATTCATGGGTTTCTACTTGGACTTTATTACAGGCTGAATTATACTCCATTGGACTGCCAAAAAATTGTGTTCTTCCCCCCAAGTTTTTGAACCCAAATATAGATTGAGAACCTGAATCAGGTCCAAGATGAGCATGCCATATAGAACAGGTCTGTTTTGCACTAACCAGAATTTCTGGATAAAAAAATTGCCACCATATATGGACGCCAACAATGGCGAGAAGTCTAGACTTGCAGAAAACAATAAAATGCTTACTGTCATGGAACTGAGAGAGGAAATGTGCCACCTACGAGGTCGACACTCCTCACTATCCATGTTCCACTTTGGTTCCTAGGTCTCAATTGGATTCTCCAAGGTCTTGATCATGGAAACTTTAGGAGTTCAGTTTTTTCCAGGAATCAAAATTGGTGCATAGAGATCGAACCATTATCTGCAGGGGAGAACACGGTTGGGTTTACACAGACGGTTAAGGCCACTAGCTGCGATGATGACACATCACCGGTGGTGGGACTAAGAATACACATCTATACATGGTAAGTTTTTATTACGGTGGTGAGGTTGTCTATGTGTATGTTTCAGAAGCAGAGAGTGAGAGAGGGAGACAAAAGAACTGGATTATGGTGAGGACGGTGACATTCCAGGGTAGGGGCCATTAATGGGAGGAATAAGGAGGGGTTTGTTTTCTTTTTCTTTCTTTAGAGGAAAAGTTAGAATAATGTTACACACAAGGAATTTATATGGTGGCATGTGATGGAAAAACCTTAAAGATAGATACTATTGACCAAGATTAATCAAAATGGACCCAAAGACTACAACAGAGCAATGTTGAGATACAATGAAGAAAATGTTAAATTGGCAGTACTGGGAGCGATATAACGCATGGCATCAGAGATCATTTCTGAAATTTTGTCTAAAATATATCACCTAGAGTAGGAGAGCACCTTCCTAATCTCTTTGGGTTAAAGTATTTGCTGGTCCCTGAATTTCTAAAACAACTTTCTTGCCACTGGACTTACCTTAGAACTTGGTATCCATGCACGTGTTTTTTATTTTTGGTCTTTCAGCTCATGAGTGTATACTTAGATGAACCTCATATAGATATTTATTAAAGTTGTTTAGGCAGGGATTGTTAAAACATTTTCTACACAGCACGATTTGAAAATTCAGCAAAGAGCAAAAAAACAGTCACACCTGAAGATAGAACCTTTTCACATCTTCTACACCCGCAAGGTTGTCTATTCTTTGTGCCATCTGTTTATCCCCGAGGGTAACTACTGCCAATGACTGTTACACAAGACACAGAAAAACAAATTAAGAGGAAAAAAGGAGAGAAATTGGAATGCAAATTCTGGTTTTACTGTCTTTTACAGGCAAAAGATTTATGGCAATTATTATGATTGCACATATGAAGGCCACTATATTAGAGTAAGAATTTTGTCATGATATACAATTTTAAAGATCAATTCTTATAGCTTTGGATCTTTTACAGTATTTTCTTATTTTACTGAAGTGAAATTCTAATTTTCTTGTTTTACAGGACTTCAGTATTAGACAATTAAGTGTGATATATATATATAATTATATTAGAGGGTCTAGAGTGTAAATGTATCTCTTATATATATCCCTGATTGTAATCGATATATACATACATAATTACCAAGTTTATCT